TAAGGAAGGGATCCTCACAGATCCTGTTGCTGTTCTCATGGGCTTCTTTTTCACCTGAACAAAGGCACAGAAGCCTTTATACAGGTGGAATCCATAGAAAACACCTTCCAAGTAATGCAGTAAAATCAGTGTATAACTTTGGCTGTTTCTATGAGGGCTTCAGAAAATAAATAAGTGTCAGGAAGTCAGGAAACTCTTCTGTCATTGTGAAAGTCAGAGGAACAAGGCATCTCTATGGATTTGGACTTCAATTTCAAATGACCTTGAGCATTAGCAAAGCTCTATTGGATGTACTCTTTCTTTATCATACTAAAGTCTACTATTAATAGCAGCTGTACATACACTTCATGGAAGATTGTCTCTTCATATGGAATCCTAGAAGACATGAGGCTGACTTCCAAATTAATAAATAGAAGAAGGAGGGGACATATTGTTAATATGTACCAAAAATGTTATTAAGTGCCTAGTGCTGCAAGCAGAAAAATCTTATAACTGATCCATGACAGTGGAGTGAATTCTGGAATCCTTGATAACCAGCTTTAAATATTTGACATAAAATTTCATTTATTTATATTTTGCTGCTGGGCAAAGAAATTATAGAACAAATTTCAAAAGAAACATCACAGAACAGTAGCCACCTTTGTGTGCATGGCATTGGTATGCAACTGTTGGTAATGTTAAAGCAATGTTAAAAAGAAGTAAAAGATGGCTAGGTAAAACCAGAATAAAAAGAATGCACTTAGAATGCTGTGACAAGAAACTGTGGTATCAGGACAGTGTGTGTCCTGCCCTATGCACCAAAACCTGCATGAAAACCTGTGCTTCACTTGGAAATCATACACAGGGACCCCCACTACAGTCAGATTTAAGTACAGTTGCCAGTAACTTACAAGAAGTTGCTTTAATAGGAAGCCCAAGTACTGAGGATCCCAAATATTGGATCACCTCACTGGGACAGCTGAGCTGTCCTGAACAGACAGTTTGGCTCTCAAATCTGCACCCAAACTGCACTGTAAGTTCAGGGCAGCACTGCATGCTGTAAGGGATTATTGTCTTCAATTCAGATTTTCGAGACGTTTTTGTGGTTCTTTGGGTTTTAAAAGCAAGCATTTCTTACCTGAGCATTGCATTTTAGTGCTTGTGTGGGAACACAGGATCCTGTGCTGGTCTGTTACCTCCTTGGAAAGCAGCTCTACCCCTGACTTAAATCCTGAACTCCTGAAGTTGCTGTCCTGTTGATGCTATAAATCAAAAACCAAGTGTTGCTGGATATAAACTTCACCTAGAATTGCTGTCTGCATCCACATTATTACTGTGGATCATTTTAGTGGTCTCTGAATTCTGGCTGCTGTATTGGAGATTCCTGGGCCAACAGAGTCTGCAAGCCTCAGAGAAAGGGAAGCACCAGCTTGGTGAAAATTTGAGGGAGGATATGTGGAGATTTAAGTTTGCATATAAACCTTAAACCAATCTGTCCTGTTTAAAAAATTGATCTGCTAAATTACTGAGAAAAAGAGAAAAATGAGAATACCATTTAAAATAAATCCTGTAGTAGTATCAATAACAAGTATACTGCATTTCAGAAATGTGTTCATTTCCGTTAATGAGCAGTAGGTGCTAAAGAAATGTTTAAACTATCTTTCAAGGATTTAAATGAAAATTGGCTCCTATAAATACCAACTGGTTTACTTAAATCCATCCAACTGTGACAAAGAAGTAGTAAATAGAAGGAGAAATAAATCGGAAGGAATTAAAATGCATTTGTTTTGAGAAGTGACTACTGATTTCAGTGAAAAGCCATATCACTGCCATTCAAAAGTGGTGAATATTTGCTCATTTATTTAAACCATATTCTTTCATATCAGTATCAGTTCCACTGTTAATGAAACAAATTCAATTAAATGGGTTCAGCAACACCATATCAATTAGAAAAATTAAACTGGCAACAGTAATGGTAACACCTAAGTCTTTGATGCAAAAAGAATAATCCCACTGAAATTGATAAAATAAGTACAGAATTAATCCCAGGTTCAGGATTGAATATAAATGAATTGAGGCTAAATCTTGAATGTACAGTTTGTGTGTGTTTCTACTATATAATATATAACTGTGAGCAATAGTTAAACATGGGAGTTGAACATGGCTGTAACTGTTAATAGATGTGTAACTGTTCTTTAACAAATCCAGCTAGAAGATGCAAGAGTTTGGAAGTCTGGGATCATGAAAAAAAAAAAATTAAATGAAAGGAAAATCAAGACATTAGGGAAGGTCAGAATTATACAGCAAGGCATGTCTTCTAATCTTTTGTCATATAATTATCTTGTTTCTTTTATGTAGTTTTAAACCTGTGCGTAGCTTTCAGTGCATTAGGGAGTGGATTTATGTGTGACAATAGAGACATAACTGAAGTATATTAGAGAGTCAAAGATTTCGTACAGAGAGCAGCTGATCCTCTGTGTGACCTTCGTGCTCTTTGTGCTGCCCCAGGTGTGACTGAGGCAGGGCCACACTGAGGAGTGCTCTGAGCAGACAGGTGCCATCCTGTCACTGCCAGAGCCTGGCTTGCTCCAGCCGTGTTTCCTTGGCTGCTTGGATGAGCTCAAAGTCAGGCAGTACACAAACCTGTGGGAATTGTGCCCTCAAATTCAGGAAACCCCATGTTCATATGTATGTGTAGGTAGCTCAAAAACTGGTGGGAAATGTGATTAAATACATTTGTTCATGTCCTCCAAACTCAGCTCCATAATTCTAGAGCACTCCACAAATCAGAAGCTTCCAGTCCCACTTCTCACTTTGTTGGAGTTTTTGCAATGGGATTTGTAATTAGCAAAGAAAATTAAAGGGAACGCATTTTTCTCAAGCTGAGGAACATTCCTGTTTTGTTTTGATTTCCATGTGTGGGATCATTTCTTTAGGATCAAGACATTCTTACTTTGAGAGGTCTCTGTCTTGTCTTAGTGAAGTTCTAACGTGCATTTTCTTATGTTAGAAACCATTTCCTCCATGCCTCTGCAAAAAAATAAAACAAAAAAACAAAAACAAATAAAACAAAAACAAAACAAAAGCAAACAAACACCAAAACCAAAATCTGGTTTATCTATTCTTATTTTTCAGCATACTTCCTATGCTGGGATTTTACCCAATAACATCAGTGTATTTATTCATCTGAAACTGTCAGAGATGCAAAGAAATTTAGGAGCAACAGTTTCCCCTAGTGCACCAGTATGACATAAGTCTACAATTTTACCTCAGGTGAGGAGTGGGTCATAGGTTGTGCTTTGTAATAAACATTCTTCTGCTGCCACATCCCTTTTCCATAGCTTAGAAACTCCTTGCTTCCACAGTAATAAAATAACTGAGCAGATATTAGTGAGGTACATTTGAGCCAGCGTCTCTTTGCATACCAGAAGAAACTTTGGTCTGTTCTGTAGCATCTTTTCCAGATGGCTACGCAGAATGTGCTGCTGGTTTTGTTCACTAATGGTTTTATAATGTATTTTAATCTGACACAACAATTTCCTTGATCATTCTTACAGATACATTTCTTAAAAGCTGAATAAATATATCTATGAGTACCACATCATTGAAATGTAATTGGAGGAAGCCACAGGCTTCCTACCTGCATTAATCAACTGCTGATGAGCTTAATTAATCTCTCAGATCTAAATGGAAGAAGAGAAATGAGAGCTATTTGCTTGAAAGACAGTATAGCAGGGTTTGAAAACTTCAGAGCTGTCTTGTTTACAGGTAGAGATGTGCAATGATTGGTGTCTTGCTAAAAACTGTTCATCTCTGTTAAAGATAAACACTCAAACCCTAGGGAATTGGTTTAGTTCCAAAATATAGTTTCTCTCACAAGACAGACTTTGCTTTGAGCTCTACTGTGTTATATCATATAAACATATCATAGTAACATAGAATCATAAAATTACTTGGGTTAGGACCTTAAAGATCATCTCATGATCTCATGACAGGGGCACTATTCACTGGACCAGGTTGCTCAGCACTCCCCTGCTCCAACTTGGCCTTGAACAGTTCCAGGGATGGGGCATCCACAGCTTCTCTGGACACCCCGTTCCAGTGCTCACCACCCTCTCAGTAATTAATTTTTTTCCTAATAACTAATCTAAACCTACTGTCAGTCTGAGACCATTCCCTCTTGTCTTGTCACTCCATGCTCTTGTAAAAAGCCCCTCTCCAGCTTTTTCATAGACTCCCTTCAGGTACTGGAAGGCCACAATTAGGTCACCCCAAAGCCTTCTCTTCTCCAGGCTGAACAATCCCAATTCTCTCAACCTCTGCTTGCAGGAGAGGTGCTCAATCCCTCTCATCATCTCAGTGGTCTCCTCCAGACTCATGCCCACAGGTCCCTGTCCTTGCTGGGCTGGGCACCCCAGAGCTGGATGCAGTGCTTCAGGTGGGGTGTCACCAGAGCAGAGCAGAAGGACAGGATCATCTCCTTTCATCTGCTGGCCACACTGCTTTTGCTGCAACTCAGGATGTGCTTGAAGGTCTGTCACTAAGACCTCACTAATACCTTACAGTACTTAGCTCCTTTACTAACTCTTCATTATTTCCTAGGGGAGTAAAAGTAAATGTCTGCTTTTTATTAATATTTTGCCAAATTTATAGGGGCTAAAAGCGCTGAAATAGTAACAGGCTGTCCAACTGCACTTTCCTTCTAGGCTGCTGCATTTTCCAGTGTGTCTTGACAGATTGCTAGCAGGAATTTATGCTTTAGGCAAACGTGCACCTTTTCATAACTTTTACATTTCTCTCATATTTGTTTATGGGTAAATCTGCCAAACACTGTTACGCAGTTGCAGTCTCAAGTTTAGGAAGGGAGCTTTGTCTTATGCATCTTCTTCCTGACAGAGTTCGTAACTTTCTTGTGATAGAACATGAAAATTAATTCCAGGGGGAGAATTGTTTTGTCCACTCTGACCAGTCTATTATGAGCTGTCAGATCCCACTGACTCTATGAGCTCTGTAATGTGAACTCAGCCAATACATTCTTTCCAGCAAGGCCTCTGCAGTTGTTTGGAAGTGACAGAAAGACATAAACCCCAGCACTTCCTTTTTCCAGTGGTTAGTCAGCCTCACTGTTGCAAATTTGTGCTTTATTCCTAATTAGAACTTGTCTGGCATCAGTTTCCAGCCAGTGGTGATGCTCAGCACAGAGGTGAATGCCTCTTAGGTCTCTCACTCTTTCTGTCACATAATTGATTTTTCATGAATATCATAAAGTAAGGCTGAAATTAGCCTAGCAAAGCAATAAGAAACATGTTAGATCAAGAAGTCTTCCTGCATGATATGAAGGTAATTTTTTATCCTATTTATTTTAACATTCTATTGAGCTTTGCATCAAGTTAGTGGATACTCTTTAACCGTGACTTCCTCTGAGGCAGCACGTTGTTGATGCTAATACTGAGAAAATATATTAATGATTTGGCCTCTGGCACACTCTGCTTTTGGTCTCTCTCAAGCTCACTCTCCCATTTCTTAACAGGATGGTAATCGACATGCAATTTCTCTGTATCACTGATGGCTCAGACATGCGTAATCCAGATCTCTGTTCCACAAATGGGGGCTTCTAAAACCGGTGCCTCTGGATTGCTTTAGGCTCCTCTGCATGTAGGTACAGATCTCTTGCATGTGTAATCTCATTGTGCAGGCATAGGGATGCATATGCAGATGCTCTCAGGCACTACATCTCGTTTAGATAATAGCATTAGCTGATAGCAGTTGATTTGCAAGGTCTCTTGATGTTTTCATTACATGGATATTTATGCACTTTATTTATTTTTAAATGTTTGCAGTTTAGGTCTACTTTCAGCTCTTCCCATATGGAACTGACTGAAGTTTTATAATTCAGAATCCATGGAATAAAAATGAAACACAAGGTTCATCAGTTTTGACAGTAATTTGGTAATTAATGGTACTCAGTGCCTTCCTGTACACCTGAAAAATTCAAACTGACTGAAAGTCTCCAAAGTCTTTTTCTGGAAAGAGGCCAGTGGGGCTGTAAATTTGATCATGACAGACTTCCTGGTGCAGGATGCAGTTTGTAGTCAGAAGGAACTATTGATAGCATACCAGAATAAGCAAGCACCAGAAAGTCAGATTTTATGCATCCTTCCTATTCCAGCATTGGTTCTTCCAGCTCTCCCACACCTAATGTATGTACTTCAGCAATCTCAGTGTGGAGTCTGTTTCCTTCAGCTATTGGATCTGTTCCACTTGGTTTAAATAAAGGTCCTAACTCTGCAAATGTTGGCATGTCAGAAATTTCTTTAATTCTGAACCAGAAGAGAGCATATTTCAATGTTTATGCAGATCAGAATTAAAGAAAAATCCTGTTCTGGAAAATTTCAGGAGAAGCAGATTTAAAAATATTAAAAATATTTTTTTCTCTTTTTTAGATTCTTTATATTATTAGCACTGTTACCTAAATTTAATCTTGCTTTTAATTATCACAGATAATTACTGATACAGATTACTACAGGGCATAGCAGCCTATTACTGTTGTTGCACATACCACTGCAATCCTACCTTTTTTTCCCCTTGACTTCACCGTGGATAAAACTTTTAAGGCTGACCATTACAAACATAAGAACATCAACATCAGGAGAAAAAAACATGTTGTGTTTTTTGATAATGTTAGCTTTGAAGTGATAGCATAATATAGAGTGAGTGGTACACCTTCTATCAGCTTTCTTTCTAGTTTGGTACTGTAGTATTTTCTGTCTTATAAAAAGATGATGAATTCCATGTCCATCACCATAATAATAAAAAAACCACAATGTGGGGTGGGTGGGTTGGGTTTTTTTTCCAAGTCACAAGGGATATGCTAGCAAAAATTTGATTAAAATACCCATTGTAAGAAACTGGGAATGCAAGTGCGACCCTTTTACTCTTCTCACTTCCCTTATGGCCAGAAGGTATTGCTCTATGTGTGGGTGTATGAAAAATATGAAAGTTTCAGTGAAGTCTGGATAGGATGCCAAATGCCAGTGCTGTCTTGAAAGCAGCTATGATCAGTGATAGCTTATCCAGTCTCAAATAAAGCAAAGCTATTCAAAACATTAATAAGTATCTGTTTGTCTCTCCTCTGCTAAAAAAGCTACTTATTGATTTCTTTCCTGTGCTATTGCAGTAGCAAAATTTGAAATGTTTTGAAAACATCCCTTAGAGCCACACAACAACAATTAACAGCATAGCAAGTGCTGAGCAGCAAGTAGCTGATAATGACAGAGTCTAATGTCAACTGAATGCAATTAATCACTGATACTACCCATAGAGCTTTGGATTTATATTCAGCTATTACAAAGCATTGATGAGGTCCCCTCTCGATCTTTCACAGTGTATGTATTAAGAGTAACTCTTCACCATAAGCAGAAGAAAGCAGGAGAAATGCTTTGAGACTGACATTTCATAATATGTTTGCTATCACTCCGTTATGCAGTTAGTGGCTGCTGTTCTCTGAGGAAGGCAGTATCATAGAGGAGCAGGAGCAGTTCATCCCTCTAATCTTTCCAGCAGACAAGGCAATGTGAAATAATATGCAGTCCCAAATTGGCAAGTAAGTGCCAGTGTAAGATACAGGATACCTTTACACAACTTAAAAACAACCTTTCTTTGTACAGTTTTGCTTAGGTTAAGCAATGACCAGGGCTGTATGCAGAGCATTGACTTTATAATTTGTATAAAATTAATTCTTTTCCTTCTCTGTTTTTTCTGCCATCATGCTCCACCTCACTAGTCCACACTAGTGGCTGTTTGGCACTTGACAAGTGACTAGTCCCTTGACCCCAAAGTGAGTTCAGAGCAAGTGAAAGGGCACAGGACTTTGTCATGTTGCAGCACACTTTCAGTCTGAAAATCCTCATGGATGATCCCAAAACTCTTCATGGATGAGTAAAGAGGATCTCAATATTTAGAACTGTATCTCTTCAAACTCAATTCAAATACAACTCACAGTCTTTCTCCCCAAGTAAGGTAACAAAGGAGGTAGTGACTTTTAAACTGAAGGATGTTAGGTATGCATTCCTAGACCACCAAAAAAGTACACGAAAGTCCGCTTCAACTTCAGAATTGAATGCAAAGAAGATAATAGGTCAAAAAGATGAATAATGATTGTTGACATGGATGGAAGGGTTTTTCAAGAGTGACTTTGAAGCTGGGCTCTCAGAACTCCTTTGGTGATGAAGACACAGCAATAGAGTTAGAACCCTTTCTTATTGCTGCCTCTACTTTATTTTTAGAATTCACAGTAAGCCTGGGGAGTATGAACATTAAAAGTTGTCTAAGGTGAAGGATTAATTGGATTCCATACCTGACCTGATACTGCAGCAAAAAGGGAAAACCTGCACTGAAATATGGAGGGTTTTATTTATTAATTTATTAATTTTGGAGCACATGAAATGAGTGTACTTAAACTGAAAAGGATGTAAATTTCTGGGGTTTAGGCAAAAAATAGTATTAAACTTAGGGAATGAAAAGGAAAACTCACATGTGGCCAGAATTCCTCAGCTGAATTCCCTCAAAACTGGAGCATATTATATGAGCAGTTCTTTTCAGTAGGGTATTATATGATAAGCAAATTTTGTCTACATTTCTGAGGTAACTCCTACATCCTGAAGCAATTTCATAAGAAAAGTCAAGAAAACAAAGCAAGATATAACTTTTACAATATTTTTTTCTAAAGAATGCTTGAGTTGGTTTTTTTTCTCATTGTCATTTCTCTTTCAAGCCATTCCTCCATAGTGCTTTGGAGAGTGATAGATAGCCATTGCTCTCCTAATGCCTTGCTTTAAGTGAAATGTGATTCCCTTGTGCCTGATTTTCACAGCTAAATAGAAAAATGCAACTCACTGGAAATTCAATTTTCAGACGAGACATAAAACTTCAGAGCATGGGTGGTAATTACAGAGTCTACATAACTTTCTACAGAAGTAGAAAGTCCTTATTCCAATTTCTTAATCATCTTGTATTCATGATTTTTCAGTAGTCCTGCGTATTCCAGTGAGTTTCTTTTAATAACATCTTTCTGAATAGAATGGTCTTTTTTTGCAAACATGAAACAAAGGAAATAATTTGTTGGGTAAGTACCATATGACAGTAAACAAGCAGAATGAAAAACAACCAGTAGAGAAGACTGAAATTTCAGTCTATGGAAATACTGTTTCCACAGAAAAATAATATTTTGAAAATCCCCTGTGCCACATAAATAAATAAATAAATAAATAAATAAATAAACAGCAAAACCAGTAGAAGTCAGCCAAACAATTAATCAAGGTGCTTTGAGTTAAAGGAAAATTTTGGGTTGGTTTTTTTCAAGGATGATATTTGTCATGTGTCATTCTAGTCTAATTAAAGTAGAAGACCTCTTTAATGCCAAAGGTACCTGTAAGGTGAAATGATCATTTTCCTTCCTATCACCTATCATTTTCTGTCTTCTTCAGATTTTTTTTTTTTCCCATGGAATTTAGTGTAGCACTTCTGAAAACGAGGGCTATCCAAGCATTTTTTCTTCTATGCATATCATCTTGATTTTACTCTTTACTGGACAGAAATCTGTTAGTTGTGTCATTGGTATTAGTGGAAGCTCTCATGAGAGGTTTTGTCAGACCAAATGTCTGTCTAACATGAGCGTAGGATTCATATTTTCCCTTTGTTTGTGTATCAAAAAGCATAAAAATAGAACTGCTTGTTCAAGACACGGAGTTGTGAAGTGCCATACAAGTTATACAACCTGGGATTTTCTTCTGTCTTATTGCTTATTATTGGCACTTATTTCACTTGTCCCCATCACAGTGCAAATGCCAGACAAACATTAGAATTCTGCATCTTTTTCTGATACACCTAAAACCCATTGTCCTTTTACTTTTCTGAGAGTGGCTGCCATGAGTCTGAATTAATGACTCCATATGTGTGTTATGTTCATGATGGACATTTAGTCTTCCAGGTATAATTTCCTGTAAAGAAAAGTAATTTTATTTCCAGCTGAATAGGCACTCTATCATACTACCCAAATCAAACAAAGTTATTATTTGGCTTTTTGCCAAGTCGTACAGTATAAAAGGTCATATTTTTAATAGCTTTGTGCTTCATGGTAATCAAATTTGTAAGCCTGGAGAAATAAACAACTTGAATATTTCAGAGTTCTCTGTGCTCATTTAACCATTGCTGTTCTGTGCACATGGCTACCTCCTGTATTAGCTTTGTACAGTAAGGTACAACCTCCTATTGATACAAGAGCAGGACTAGCTCATCTGAACTATTCATTGCTAAACTCCAGTTTTGGAGTCTAAACCAAAAGGTACTTTTTATCAGGAATCTGCTGGCAGGCAAGCAAGGTTTCATTAGTGTAAACCTGGGTGCATGTAAGCATTAATAACTTGCTTGAATCAACAATAATTAGAAAGAACACCTGCTTTTAAAAGTCATTTTTCTTCCGGTTGACTGGGCATTGCATTTGTGGGAAACGGATGCTGATTACATGCAAATGAAATTTCTAAGGTTTCCTTGTATTTCATTTTTAAAAATAATCATGCCCTGTTGTGCATTAAGAATAATCCAGTTCAGTTGTTGTTCAGCAACATCTGTATGTAAAAAAAAAAAAAAAAAAAGAGTTGTGAAAGCTGTGAATCCTTGAAAAGTCCAGAGGAAAAGAGAAAATTTTGCATCAGTTATCTATCTTCTTAAACATTAGATTAACCTGAGGTTTTTGTGATTTTTATAATAGTGTTTGTTATGAATTGGCTTAGAGTCAAGGTACAATCTGACTGGTGAGAGGAGATGAATTATTAACCTGTAACACAAGGGCTGGGAATTGAGGCTGCCAGCCAGGACTGTTAGTGCGATGTGTATTGATGGCTTCTTGCTGGTGAGCTTTTTGTCTGTCTCAGAATAGCTGAGGCTGGTTGCAATAGACACACTGGGAATGATACCCTTCTTGGTCAGTGCTTTCATTGACCCTTTCCACTTCCCTGAATTTTACCTTGCCTTCAGTTTGGTGGTCAGAAGTTGAAGTCTACAACTTTTGGCCACATTTCTTGACCTCTAGAGTAAGGCAAGACTCCAGTCCTAACCATTACTTTCAATAGTATCTCTTGCATCGAATTACTAAAAATAGTACTAAATACCATTTAGGATTTCTTCAGAAAACCTAAGCAATATTGTCATGGAGACAGAAATCTTGCACACCTGTTACAGATTTCATTGCTACAGTGCCTTGCTAGAACTGCAATTTGTGTTTTCCCTCTACAGCATTCACTACAAAATCTTGAATTCAAATGGCCTAAAAGTGTTAATTTAAACTCCATTGTTAAACCACATGATGTAACTCCCTTATTCAAAGTGAAAGAGGTCTTCACTGGAATTAGCTTAATTCACTTTGGAAATGTCCATATAGAATTGCAATGCATTTTAATTGGTCAGCTTTAAAACCTTCTCCAGTTTAACTTACCTGAGTATTGCTCAGACTGTTCTCTGTCTGGAGCAGGTTCTCTGACAAGAGAGGTTTGGCTGTGTCAAACCTGCACTTCAGTGACTTCAGAGAAGCAGCTACGTGTTTTACCTCTGCTGAACAGTGCTTGCCTCGTGACTGAGATTCATGGTAAAATACTGTAGCACTCAGGACTCAGCTCAGAATGACAGACACTGCTCCAGAGTGATCCAGACTCTCTCCTGCAGCTGCTTTCACACGGCAGGAAAGCCAAGCTCAGCCGTGCTGGCTGCTCGCTCCGAGCACAAGTCTGTCAGCTCCGACAGCCATGGCCAGGGCACCCTGCCCTGCATTTGCAGTAACTAGGTCACAGAAGAAATGGCTTTTGTGAGGTGAGCCTGCATAACTTAGAAAGTCACCATTTGTGGAGAATTAAATGGATGCTCCAGTCTTTGACAAAGGTTCTTCAGAAGTAGGGTCTTTAGTTGTGCATTGAGAAATGAGGAAAAAGTAGTGCATTTTTATTTTTACTACTTTTTCTTAGCTCTCTAGTTTGTAGCCATCTTTTTCCCAATCAACATTTTTCTTGTCTAGTGAAGCTTCTTAAAAACAATTCTTCTGGTTCAGAAGTGTTTTTCCTTTTCATTGAAATTAAATAATTTTTTCCTGTGTGAACTTATTCTAATCTACAGTTTAGTTTCAACCTATTATCCACAACTAACTTGCATCATCACATAGAGAATAGGATTTAACTGAACAGAAATATCAGCAGATTCTTGATTTTTGAAATAAGGCATCACAAAAATTAAACACATGAAATGGAGTCATTAATATAATTACATTTAAAGTTCTATGACTTCTTGTTGCCATGTTCATAAAAAGATCACCATCATTTTGGTGCTGTCTAGGTATTGAGGTTCAAAAATCATTCTCCTGAGATACAGTTATAAATATTTACAAGACTAAGATTTTTTTTGCCTGTAGATAAATTTAAACTTGCAAACTTTGTTCCAACAAGAGATACTAGGCTGAAATCTTCGAAGAGGTAAGTAGTATTTTCATTAAGGATAAGTTGCCTTCTGATGCTTTTAACAGAATTAATTAAATTTCTGATTGAAGATTTTAATTGACAAAAGGCTGATTTAAATACTTCCTCTGTTTTGTAGGGAAGGCTCCAGGCTGTGACTGCTCTGCGGGCAGCATGGTTGTGTACAGTCAAACAAACAGCCCGTGACACTGACACATCACTCGTGTGGCAGCTCCATTCTGGATGAGGTGATTGATTGCAGTCCCCTTTCGAGGGATACTGGGGATAGACGCAGTGTGGCTGCAGCCAGGCAGATTTAAAAAAAAATAAAATAAAAGGTAGCTTCAAAAATTTCCCCTTTTAAAAAGTGTAGACTGTGATTCACTGGTTAAAGTCTGACAGAATGATCAACACTTGATACACCCATCCTTGGGAGAAAATTTTTTGAAGACAGTGGTGGGATACTTTATATTTTCATGTTTTGCTGTTTCCAAAGTTGTCTGTGAATCTGTTTCTTATTGGCCTGTGTACCAAAATGTTACATGATATCACTGCCTTTCTTTCCCCCTTTGGCTGATATTTCTCTTCTCCTGGAAGGACTGGAGATGCATACATGTTAAACACTGAGGATAAATCCATTTCTAATGTATGCCACACAATTACATCAACAGTTTCTCCAAACAGAAAGAGATGGTGCTGTCAAGTGTCAGGCAAACCTGTTCCTGCTCCCCCAAGCACCAGGGGCAGGGGTTACAGCACCAAGCAGCTGTGCAGTTGTTTGCCTGTAGAAGTCTGATGGACTGCATGATACTGCAAGTGATACATATCTAAACCAAAAGAGAAATCACTTAGCATCACCTTAATTGCAATCATTTGTATGGTTAAAGAAATTAGTTGCTTCCTTAGGACTTCAGGCTGCAGTGTGTAACTTTGGGCAGACTGTGTGGGCATTTTGTAAGGACACAGGCTCCAGACCAGTCTAAAAAATGAGTGTGATATCCAGTGAAGGAACTGTCATACTCTGAATTAAAACATTTCAGCGAACAAAGGAAAATATTAATTGTGCTCTCATCCAAAACTAAAGTCTAATGTTGTGAACATGCTTCTAATTGTTTGGATCACAAGGTGTTGCTGGTACAGAAGGTAGCTGGGAAGGAAGTATTTGTGCTTAAAGGCATCTGAGAAACACAGAGTCACAGAATGAAAAGGTAGAACAAAGAGATGGTGGGGAGCAAGGGACAAGGCAAGGTTTCTTTTGCTTAGTTTCCCTTCCTTTTCTACTTAAAAATTTGTGCTACAACAGGGAGACAACAAATGGTTAACAACCAAAGACAAAACCCACTGTGACCGTCAGGTCTCTGTGCAATCATCAGCAGAACTAGCTATTCTAGCCAATTTAATAGCTTGAAAATGAACTCATTAGTGGTCTTTTATCAGTGGAAAAAAGTCTATTAAATCCGGATGTGTGAAGAAGCAGTACGGAGGCTCATTTCCATCCCACTTGTGACCTGAACAAATCAGAGAAATGCTTTTCAAGGAACAGGGTCAGGCTTGACTGCAATAAGATATTTTCAACGCACAGCACCCAACTTGTATCTTTCCTTCAAGTTTCTGATGCAGTTAATTTTAATTTACAGTCTATTTGTCACTCCCCACATCTCTCCCTCTCACCTCCTTCCTGGTACCACTGTCATCCATAAACATGTGGGCTGTTTATACTTTATAAAAAGAAAGTGTACTACAGTCTGTTGGATTTTTTGATAAACCTGCCCAGTGATGGCCCTCTGACAGCTCTGGACTTCACTTCTCACTGGCTGAGGGAGTAAGCAAAGATTCAGGTTCTCATCTGGAAAGGTAAAGGCTGCAGGGAATGATGCTGATTTAAAACAGTTTATGATCTAGCCAGAGCTGTGGGCAGAGGCAAAACTTAGTCCAGCCTTCTTTCTGCCCCCTTGGCAAGCAGGAAACCAAGTATGAAGTGTATGAGATGTACTTCCCACAAGAGAGGCGAAAGCACTCTTTCTTCAGGATACTGACATTGTTCTGGAATTGTCTGAAAATTATCTGCGATGAGCTTTGCTACAGTTTTTCCTCTGGTGTGATGCACAATGTTAAGGCCTAAGGAATCTGAGACTAAAGTACACATAGCCCTCCGAAGGTGGCTTATCTGTGGGATGATGATAACAGCCCACAATGAGTTTTAATCCTATAGCCTCTTGAAGAGACAAGCATTTAAGGACTGTCATTGACAGAAATATTCAAAAACCATCTCACGTCTTGTCATGAATGAGTTAATTATCTTTATAGGACTAAATCTAAAAACAACTGCTTCAAATACCTCTGAAAAACTGCATTTCCACAAGGAGTGATACTGTTGTTCCTGGAGAGCTGTAGCTTTCCCTTCACACATTGTGGAATAGCACTGTCTTCAGCACTCTGTGGGAAAGGCTTTTATTTCACTTCTTCCTTGAAATTATTTGGTCAAAAGTTAAACTCATAATGGAATTAATTATTTTTTTAAATTTAATTCCAGACATTTTATGCACATGTATTTAAACTTACTTTACTTAATAATATACTAGGATTACTTAATGGCCTCTCATCCTGCCCTGAAACATAACCCTATTATTCCAGTCTTAGCTCACTTATGAATAGAAAATCCCAGCTATGATAAATTCCTTTAAAATGATGCTGGGAATTTACAGTGAGTCTGTGGGCTAGTTTGAGACCCCCAAACTCATTTACTGCTGTCTGTTAAGCCAAGCATGAAACACAGATCTCTGGGGTGGAAATTCGCTTTATTAACCCCCTGGGTCACCCAGCTACCAAGGCAACGGCTTTCTGCAGTGAGTCACTCCATAACTAAAGCATCAGCCACATGAAACCCAAATCCCTTGATTAGAACAGGGGCTGGTAAACCTCAAACCGGGCACATAAATACTTTCCAGAAGTTTGTTTAGCTCTTAGCAGAAGCTGTTCTCCTTCACTTGGTTTGAAAAGAACAAAATTGAAAATTGTTTCCCAGCCTGCTTTGCCCGGAGCCTGCCTGATAACTCGATTCACATCTCGGTCTCACAGCACTCTGCAACAATTCTCCTGTCATTGCCTTGTGTGCTCCTTCTTGCATGCCCTGGTCCTGGGGGATGCCCATCAGTCCAGGGTATCTGGCCACGTTATTAGCTTGTCTTGTAGATTCTGGGAGAGAGCCTATCATGCATTTTATTGTGTAGCAGAAGATGAGACCCAGGGGATGCTTTATCCCATGCAGTCCAAACTTAAATAAATTTGGAATTAAGACTAAGTATTTATTTAATGTTCTAAGGTAAGCAGAAATCTCCTTTACCTAGGGAAAGTCTTCCACTCTATTAGGACCTCTTAAGGCTGGTTTAATTGCTGGATCTCTCTCAAAGGCATAAAAAAGGTCATAGGATTACAAGAATATGGTAACCAGGAAAATTCTGTTGAACAGTTAACATTCAGATAACTGATTTAAGGTGTTAGGATTTGTGTCCTTGTGCAGAGGTAGATGTCCTGCAACACAGGCAAAGCACCCTTGGACAGGTACCATTATTACAGAGCATTGCTCAATCTGCTTTCTCACTGAAGCTTTTGACATGCTGTAAATTTGTTTGCAAAATTCCACTGTGCTTTACTTAGCACATCTATAGACCAGTAGGCATGTGCATTTGTTGCTGAGAAGTAATTTTATGTTATCTGTACCCCCATTTTTATGTTTCAAAGTCTTTCTCCACACTTCACTGGGAATGTTAAACTCTCACAAAGCAAGGGGAGGGAGCCATTTAAATAACATGCATATAGATAACATGCTGGCTTTTATTCTTTGTTCTCACAAAGTATGTACTGTACAAGAAAGGAATATGGTCACCTATCCCCTTACTGGAAAAACTGTCATTCCTAATTCATTTACACAGGGTGCTTAAGATGCCTTGAGCAAACTAAAATAGCTTTAACGGAAAATTAATCTAGTTTGACTGGAGAAAACTAGTAATTTTTCTGGAAGTGTAGAACATTTGTTAAAGAAAGAGGTTCTGCTGCTTTGTGCAGGACTCAACAAAACCTTTTTTCATGCTTTTCCCTCCCCATGGTGCATGACTGACAGCACAGGCAGCACCAAGCACCACCCAAGCCACAGTGACGGGCTGGATGCTCTTGATGCTCGTTTTGGATCTGGGCTGGCTGGGGCCATGCAAGGTGCCAGGTCCTTGCCCAGTGTCATGAGGGACACCTGAGCCACCCAGCCCAAGGGTGACAGGGCAGTGGCACCAGCTTTGGATGCCTCCCAGTAATCAGACTGGGAGAAATGAAGGAGCAGGAGCTCTCTGCTCCCAGGAGGGAGGACCGGTCTGGCAGGGTGGCAGAACTGCTCAGAGTGAGCTTCCCAGGCTGGTTCCACAGGACATTGCCTGTGGCCCTGCCTGAGCCAGGCAGGTTGAACCTAGAAGGGCACAGAAACTTCCCTTCTCCAGAGTTGTGGAATAGTGTGTGTTGGGTGAGGAAAACTTCTCAGTTCTGTCTGCTTTTCTGCTCACATCTCAAGGAGTCCCATTTCTGTGTCTGTTTTTGTTGAAGGATTTTGACTTTGCTGCTCTGTGAAAAGGGACCCAAACCAGTGTTTTTTCTTAGGGCACTAGTGGAAGTATTTTGTAGAAATTGACACACTATTTTCCATTAAACTCGCCAATTTACTTTTTTTTTAAAGGAAACACAGTACTGACATGTTCTTCTAACATGTACTGCTCTCTGTCAGTGTGGTGGCAATGTTCGTGTGCTGTTCCTCCAAAAAAACAGATTAATTAATGGCTAATATATCAAAGTAGCAACCTTTCTTTATGTTGGATGAATGCTTTAAAGAAAAATACAACTGTCTTTCTAATGGCTGTATTATGGTATTTAACGATGTTGTATAATGGCAATATCACCATCTGTAGAGCATTTTTATCATAGAGTCATGGAATGGTTTGGGTCGGAAGGGACCTTAAAGATTATCCAGTTCCAAGCCCCTTCCCATGGGCAGGGACACATTCCACTAGAATGGGATAATTTTTAAAAGCACAGAGTGTTTTTAAGGGCTGATTTCTGTCCTTTGTATTCATGGACTTGATGATCTTAAAGGTCTTTTCCAACCTTAATGAATCTGTCTTTCTATGGAAAATACTTGGACTTCTTTCCTGAAAATGTATTCCAGAGAAAAGTTAGGGGCACAGTCAATTTTAAAATTACAACTGTGCCTAACAAAAAACAACCAACCAATCAAATCCCAAGATGTATGATTGGGGTTTTATTGAAAAAAGAGAATTACAAGCTCACATGATTTCTCATGGAACAAAC